CCTCTAGTCCTATATAATAAAACCCTAATATGCAAATTGACCGAATGGTGGAATGACCGGCAGAACAACCGGTCGCTATGACATGCACTGACCACCAGGGGGCAGATACTCAACGTAGGAGCTGCCCCCTGGTGGTCAGTGCACTTCCATAGGGGGAGCGCCACTAAGCCAGAAGCCAGGTTCATGGCTGGCGAGCGCAGTGGAAGGAGCCTCTCCCACCTCTGCTGCAGGAAGGCGGTAAGGTGCAAGGGGGTCCCGGACTCCGAGAGGAATGTCTGACTGCCGGCTTAGGAAATCGGGCCTAAGCCAGCAGGCAGGCATCACCCAAGGGGTCCTGGACTATGAGAGGGTACAGGCTGGGCTGAGGGGACACCCCCAACAGTGCACAAATTTTGTGTACCGGACCTCTAGTATGATTTATAATTTGTGTAGCATTTCATCAGTTCATGGATGCAGTCAAAATACCTTTAGTTAAATTGTTTACTTTTTTACCTAGACAGCATCGATCAGTGATTGAGCATTGACCTATTAATCAGATCATGGTTCAATTCCCGGTCAGGGCACACGCCCTGGTTGTGGGCTTGACCCCATGGTAGCAGTCATGCAGGAGGCAGCCCAATGATTCTCCCATATCTTTGATGTTTTGATCTCTCTCTCTTTCTCTCCCCCTCCCTTACTCTCTGAAATAAAAAAATATATATATTTTAAAAATTATTTATTTTTTCTTAAGTAACATATTTTTGTCTTATACAAAAATATCTTGCATACTTTGGAAAATGTAAAACAATATTTAGAATGATTACAAAGTTATTTAAAATTCAAATACCTCAGTTCTTTAAAAAGTTCAACATTCTGATGAGTCATCAAATTGTTTAGAAGCCATTCGAGACACCTGAAATTAAACAAGGAATTATTACATTGTATATCATGGATTTATTATTTACTAAGTATGACTTACAGTTAATATGAAAACACAATATTAGTCTTGCTAGGACAAGCGCTCAAAATTTTTAATTTAACAATTAAAAATCTAGTATTATTTTTGTCGGCAGTTATTAGGGGAATATTCCCTTTATATTAATAAGAGCATTTCAATTTAAGAAAACCCTCATTTCAAGTTTGTGTTAAATGGTTTATGAAATGGTTTACATACTTCCATTACCTTCTTTATAATTTGAAAATGGGTACTGAAATTCTCAAGAGTTAAAAACATTGTCAGTAGTTGCACTGATATGATGTTTAGTATGTCTACTATTTGAAAGATTTTATAGAAGATCTACTGTAAAGAGTGACCATAGTTTTTATAAGCAGGTATACTAGTAACCCATCCATGGTCACTTAACAGAGACAACACTTTTGAGAAATTTACTAATCTGTTCAAATGTAAAAAGGAACTTTTTAAATAAAATTCTATTCTCCTATCTTTTTTTTCCTTTCTTTCTTTCTTTGTCACACTACACATTCTCTTAGGAAACCAAAGCAGCCAAATTCCCAAAAGTGGGATGGAAGGAAAAACAAAAAGGGTAACTCACTTTTTCTTTACAGAATCTAATCCATAGGTCCCTGCTGATGTGTAATAGCCACATACAGTTTTCACATTAATTGTTTCCTTCATTGTCTCACCACACTGCTGTATTAAACCATCCTGTAAATATAAATAAGCAGTGGAAAGGCCCATTTCATGTGGGAAAAATTAGCTCTGAACATGTGCTTTTACATATTAAAAAGTTTTTTTAAAAAAAGGAAGAAAGAAAGAAACTCATTAAGTGCAGCAGTTAAGTCCAGTAAAAATATTGAAAAAAAAATCCAGCAAGTATTCAACTAAATACTCGGAATTAAATGTAGAAGAGCGGGGGGTAAAAGGAGTAAGGCAGAGATGAATATTATTATTCCCTTTCAATTCTTCCCTTTTGGGGACCTTTGCAAATTTAAGCAATATTGTCTGTTTTATCAGTTCTTTTTAAATTAAGACCTCTTTACACAGACCATGTGATGGGCTAGGCACGTAAACTATGAATCATCAGAAAGTGTTTATTAAAGTTTAAAACACTTATCAATATCTAAGAGATGTACCTAAATCAAATATATTATTGTTTTAAGCTTACATTGAAATTTTAATCTAAAATGTTTACACAGATTTCAAACAAACTTTATTCAATATATGTGAAGAAGACTGTCACTGTTTACTCAAATTTCTAAAATATATGCATGCAAGTATATTATTATGTTAAACAGTTAAGCCATAAAGATAATGCAGAAAGTGGATTTAGGACAAAACCACAACAGGACTAAAGTTAGAAAATAAAGTATATTACACAGAAATAATAATTGTAAGGATCAAAACATTTAAAAAAATGAAATAACCCCAAGCAAGTATATTTAACAAGCTATTAACTAAACTTCCAATAAATTGGTATACAAATGGCCAGGGGTCCTCAAACTACGGCCCACGGGTCACATGCAAATACAAATATTGTATTTGTTCCCGTTTTGTGTTTTACTGCAAAATAAGGTATGTGCAGTGTGCATAGGAATTTGTTCAGAGTTTTTTTAAAACTATAGTCCGGCCCTCCAACGAGGACAGTGAACTGGCCCCCTGTTTAAAAAGTCTGAGGACCCCTGTGCCACATAAAAAGAAACTTAATTAACTTTTTTAAAGATCAAAATAAATCACTGACTTACTTACCTGAAAAAGTCATTCTAGACTCCTCCCCTTTCCTCTTAACATCTTTGTCACCAAATCCAGTGGATTATCCCTGCTTAACCTCTGTGGTATTCAGTTTTTCCTCTCCATTCTTAATGTTTAGACCCTAATTTAGACCCTCATTTGATTACGATAGTTTTTTATACTCATCTTTTCTTCAATCCATCCTTCACATTGTTCCTGAAGCTTTTTTTCTAAAACATAACTTTGTCTTTCCCCTGATTAAAATCTTCCAAATGTACTATATGTAAAACCTAAACTTTTTAAAAGGTATAGAGGGCTTTCATGAGTTGGCCTCTGTCTCCCTCTCTCCAGCCCTTCTTATATTCCATGCTAGAGCCATGTTCCATTCAGATTCTCTAATTCTCCAGTTTCACCACTAAGACCTAGTTTATTGTCTGAAATGCTCTCCCCCTCTCCTCTTCTTACTTTGCAAAAGAAGTACATTTTTTGGTTTTCAAGACTCACCTCAAACACAACTTCCTTCTTTGACACAAACACATTGAACTGACCACTTTGTGCATCCACTAAATCCTACAGGATGTTTATCATCGTACCTATAACACTGGACAGCTCTTATTTACCTTTGGGTCTGCATATCAACCCTCCCTCTCCCATTCGACATTCATTATATTGTGAGCTTCTTAAAGGTGGGGACAGTATCTGAATTTACCTTTGGATCTTTATGCCCACTTTAGTACAATGCTCAGTACACTTCTGCTGAATGAATCAATCTGTCCTTCTACAATTGATTACACATATCTACCCCCAGTTATTCCATAATTAAGAAAAAGTTTACATAGTAAGCACTCGATCTTTTTTGAACCCATGAACTAATCAGTACATAATTACAAGCCATCTGCTTCATAACAGTCAAAATAAGCCATTAATGAATAGAAATCTGTAAATGGGCTTAGACAAATAAATTTTTTCCACATTAGTCATTCTAAGATGTCTACACAGAAACAGCTTGCACTCATCTTACACAGACATCATGACCTCTTTGGTTGCAATAAATTGCTTTCGGTTAAGCATTTTACATGACACCACAAATGGCATATTTATACAATTCATTTTAAAAATTATAAAAAGCTAAACTTTATTTTTGTTTTGGAATACTTTGAAACAAAAACAACTGTAATCCTTTATTTGAATAACGTGCATACTTACCAACTGTAGCATACAAGCTGCTGCCAAAATGGCAATAACTCGACTGGGTTTTATTAAGACATCATCTCGATACAGTGAACCAAACGCAACCTGCAGTGCTGGAAGCAAAATTAGAATGAAATAACAATTATATCTATGAGAGTATTACAAAAATAACAACTATCTTTACACATTAAGACATAGGTCTAAATCTAAAATGTACTTAAAAGGATAAGAGAATTATCACTAATTAAAAATGCTAGTAATGGCCGAAACCGGTTTGGCTCAGTGGATAGAGCGTCGGCCTGCGGACTGAAAGGTCCCAGGTTCGATTCCGGTCAAGGGCATGTACCTTGGTTGCGCGCACATCCCCAGTAGGGGGTGTGCAGGAGGCAGCTGATCGATGTTTCTCTCTCATCGATGTTTCTAACTCTCTATCTCTCTCCTTTCCTCTCTGCAAAAAATCAATAAAAAAATATATTAAAAAAAAAATAAAAAAAATGCTAGTAATGGTTACTGATTAATGATACTAAGTTAATAATGTTATAAATTTCCACTTATTTTAACAAATCGAGTTGGATTCTTCTAGATGTAATCTTGACATTAATTAGTGGTCAGAATTTAGACACCCTTCAAAAAGTTTTATAAAGATACCCCTGAGTAGACCAATTAAGTACAAGTATAGGCACAATGATAATATTAACCCTAATGCTTTCAGGGTTTCACCACTGGTGTGGAATAGCTGATGGTCTTATCCAGGCTACACTCTCACCCAGCCACCACAGCTATCTAATAAGCCTGTCCATCCTTTTCTCTGCCGTACTCGCACCTATGTCTCACATGGTTTACTTTATATTTTTGCACCTAAAACTTGTATAATTTTGTTAACCAGTGTCAGTCCAATAAATTCAATAAAAAGGGGGTAAAAAAGAAGAAAATAGAAGCAGCTTTGGAATAGCAATTACGAGAACTAGAGTCTGATGTAGGCTCATTAAACTGCTTTGAGACCTAACATAAGCACCTTAAATCCTCCGGGTCTTAGCTTCCTCATCTAAGAATCCTTATAGCTCTAAATCAACACTGATTAGTCTGGCTGGTACGGCTTAGTGGTTGAGTAGCAACCTATGAATCAGGAGGTCATGGTTCAATTCCCAGTCAGGGCACATGCCTGGGTTGTGGGCTTGATACCCAATAGGGGGCTTGCAGGAGGCAGCCAAGTGATAATTCTCTTTCATCATTGATGTTTTTCTCTCTCTCCCTCTTCCTTCCTCTCTGAAATCAATAAACAAAATGTATTAAATATTTTTAAACTAAATAAATAAATCAACATTGATTATATGATTTGTCCCTTTATTGTTCCCAGAAAAGATCTTCATATATAGGGAATAATCAATGAATATTATTCACCAGCTTTTCTATGTAATTAAAATAAGTGGTCATACTTTTCCTTCCTTTACCCTACAGCTTCCATATCCCAGGCAGATTTATTTACAAACCTAAGTAAACATATTCATATGGCCCAGATGACTAAAAATATTAGAGATAAGTAGGTCAGAACTGATAAACTATAGACTAAATCAATATAATGTTGTTGCCTTCTGGTATTAAATGGAACTTTTTCCTAGCTTCCAAAGTTAGAAAATATTTATTTTCCATTAAAAGTATAATAACAAGTTGTTTTCATTATTTTGCATAACAGTAATAACTGTGGTGGTGGTTACCTTCTATATCAATATTCTGGTCAGGAATCTCCAGTTCAATAATATTCATGCTGGATTCTTTCCAAGAACCACTGAACATACTAGAAAAGTAGCCAGACTTAAAAATAAAAAATAAAAAAATAAATGATTACCCAGTACTTTCTGTGTCTTCCAAATTATTTCCCCATTTCTAACTTTAAGCCAACTATTCTACTGAAACAAACCTATCATATTATTTCAAGAAAAAATAATTGCCAAATGTGTCTATAGGAGAAAGAAATTGATATAAGGACACTATTAGATATACAACAATAGTTTCAATTTAGTACTAATTTAATGAAAACTAAATCAAATTCTCCTATTGTTATCTGAACTGAATTCCTATATAGTAATATATGAACTTCATTAGCTTTTAACAATTTCTGAGAATATTACATGTATATATTTTCCTTGTCAATGACATTCTAAATTGAAACTTAGAAATTATGTTACATATTTAAGTATCTCAAACATATGACAATACACAAGGTGGATAAATAAAAATGTATCAAGGAAGGAGAATAGAATAAAACCCTCAAACTGTGAAGTCCCTACTGTACTGTACCTCAGTGGCTATAAAGGATCCAGACCAGTCCCAACTCAATACTAATAGGATGATTCCCAAGAAATTAGGGTAAATCCAAAGTTTAATTTTATCTAATCAGAAAATTCCAGAATGAACCTGAATTCTTGGAAAGATTCCAGAATGGATGAAGTAAGTAGATAGCACCTCTCATAATCAGAATTACTTTGGAATGGATCAAATATTAACCAATTATTTAAAAAACTTTTCTGAGTACTTAGTACATACAAGGCACTATGAATATAGCAGTAAAGTAAACACACTGCTTCTGTCCTCAGGGGCCTTATAATTTAGCATGTGGCTTGCACTATAATCAATCCAGTTTTTCTTGAGATGGAAAGAGGCATTTTCATCCTTAAAATCACAAAACTGCTTTGAGAGATTAAAAAGAAAGATATGAACCATATCCTTAAGCTGAGACCAATGTTCTGATGTATTCTCTAGGCTATATACTTTAAGGCAAAATAAAACTGTTCAAAAATTAAATAAAAACTATGATTAAAATGTTAGAGAAAAATTTCTTTCAAATGTTAAACTAAAAAATCTTAAACTATACTATCTTACCAGTAATTATTGTCAAATGGTGAAAAAGAGAGGGAAAAATATAAGCTCCACAGGATAAGAACTGAATTGTTCACTGCTCTATCCCAAGTGCCTAGAACAATGATTTGAAGAAAAGACAGATTTGATAAGAAAATAAATAAAATATTTGAGCCATTAAAGCAATGTTTTCTTTTATTTTGAAATTTTTGAATCTTAAAATGTGGTGACAGCAATATTTTTAGCACAGAAATCAAAAAATGTATTAGCTAAATGAGTTAGTCTATATACTTTTTTGATGTTTTCTTTAACTGAATTTTCCAGAAGAAAAGGAAGATTGTGTCAAGAACTTTCCATTCACATTTAATGTTAACTACAAAGCAACATTCTGAGTTCATCCAATTAAATAATCATACATATATTAAACAAATGCAGCAATCTTAGCCTTAATGTTAAACATTTTTTTTCCCTTTTGGCAACAGAAGGCACCAAAACAAGCACCCTACTGAAGTAATGACAAAACGTATTTATTGCTAGGCCCTTATTACAATGAAAATTCAAAATCTGTTTTTAGACCAAACTAAGCTTTCACTAACAATGTTCGCCACAGTTCTTAAAAAAACAATACTTTTTATTAGATGATAGGAGTTAACCACTGTCCATGCAAAAGATTACTATGAAATGCAAATATAAAGAACATGACTTAAAAGAGTTTGAGTTTTTTACATGTAGTCGTTCAAACAGAAAAATAAAATACTTACTTGACATAAATATATTTTGTGTAAGCTCCACTCTTCTCCCAGAGCACAAATTTTAATGTCACTATTTTCACCATTCAAAAATAATGTTTGATAAATATATTTAGATGTACTCTTTAGTTTCTTCCTGTTAAAAGAAATGCAACTGTTACATATGTGTAAAACTGAATGTTTTACTGATTTTGCAAATAACTCAAAATACTCCTTTTATTCAATTTTTATTAAATAGAACCAATGAGTAAAAGGACAGAGGTCTATTATATATTTAAATTTGCTCATGTACAGAAGAGTACATTAAGAAACTAACACTAGTGGTTATCTCTGAGGTATTCTATTCCCAAGAGGGGTAATAGTGGATAAATGGGGGAAGCACGGGAGTGAGATCTTGCACTATACATGTTTTTGCAATGTTTGATTACCTGTTCAGTAAATTAAGATAAGTCAGAGTTATTTTTACTTATTCCCTTATTTAGAAATCAGCACTAAGGAGCATCTCAATACAACTACAATAATACTACTATACAATTACAGAATGGAGAACATGTGTAAAAATTTCATCCAAGTAATTTTAAAAATAATTTACATTTAATTTACTTTGGTATCAAACTATTTTAAAAACTAGTTAAAATGTCACCTCACCCCCAAGTGGACAATTAGTTTGCAGCCTTAGACCAAAGGTTCTCAAAATTACGCTCAATGGAAAAGTGGCCACCAGGAAGAACCGAGAAGTGAATGCAGGGCATCCCACCTAACTTCAGAGAGGCATCACATATTATATTTGTAAGCATCTTGGATTTCTGCATAAGATGCAATTTAAACAAAGAATTTTTTTTAAGTTTGATAGTCATTGCTCAAGATGGTCTAGTACAGTGGTTCTCAACCTTCCTAATGCTGTGACCCTTTAATACAGTTCCTCATGTTGTGGTGATACCCAACAATAAAATTATTTTCATTGCTACTTCATAACTGTAATTTTGCTACTGTTATGAATCGTAATATAAATATCTAATATGCAGGATGTATTTTCATTGTTACAAATTCTACATAATTAAAGCATAGCGATTAATCACAAAAACAATACGTAATTATATATGTGTTATCCGATGGTCTTAGGCAACCCCTGTGAAAGGGTTGTTCGACTCCCCTAAGGGGTTGTGACCCACAGGTTGAGAACCGCTGGTCTAGTACATATGAAAAGCCCTAGGTAGAGGCTTATCAATATCTTTATATTCCTGGCCAAGCCTGACAGCTTTCCTAGTAGTTAACAAATTTTAATATTCTTAATAATGAATTGTTTCAGGTGGTGTTTTGAACCAGAGTATTTAACATCTCTTCCCAACAGGCAGAAGAAATAGTAGCACATTCTTTGGTGGTAGACAGACTTGGGTTTGAGTCCCAGCTTTACCACAGCTGGTTACCCCAGATGTAAAAAGGGTGTCAATAGCGCCCACTTCATTGCGTTACTGGGAGAAATAAATGAGACAATGTAAATTCCAGTTCCTTATAGCATCCTCCCCAACTTACATACAAAAGTACAGAAAGGAATAAGCTCAAACAACAAAAAGGGCTTATCAACTGATGACAGACTTCTACAATCTGGAAGTTAGAAAATAAACCGGAATGGAAAAGAGCCTCAAAAGCCACAGTCTAAAATATATCATGAGGGTCTAGGATGGAGGCTGAAGCCCATTTGCCCTTCAGAATCTGTGTGTGTGTGACTTGGGAAGATGAGGTTTCAGGGTAAGCAAAAGACAGAAATAGAAACTGAGGCAGAAAATGGGGAAACTTGTTCCTCTAAAGGCCTTCTGCACTCTCTACGAACACAGAGTCAAATAAATCAGGTATAAAGATTCCTAGGATCTTCTAGAAAAAAATAAAACAGATCTATCAAAAAGATCTAAGACTTTAGTGCCGGTGTCAGTGCCCCAGACAAAGCAATCTTCATTCTAGCATATGAAGAATCTATAGCCTGATAGCTCCCAACACCCAAACATGGTTCCTAAACTGTGAGTCAAAGCACCTGGAGCACCACAGCAAACTCAGGTAAGTATGTGGACTATTCTAAATTTGAAGGAAACTCGGCAACATCATTCAGATACCATGCAGTCTACTACCATTAAGTTAGTTGGACCTAATTATCAGGTATTTCTTTAGGGCCCAAGGTGCCAACAAGAAAATAGCTGAGATACTAAGGGTGTTTTAAACAAAGTTTGGGAAGCTCTACTCTAAAACAAAGCAAGCCCCACCCATATCCAATGTAGTAATCAGTGTCCCTACGCAAAGGAGATTAGTAGAACTAGATCTATTTACTTAAGACACACACACACACCCCAGTTCCTCATTCTTAAATAAAAGCAGACAACCAAGAATCATCCAACCTGAGGAAAATATGGAGTATTATTAAAAAGAGAGAAACTGACCCCAGAGAAACATAATTCAGGGAAAAAAGAACTTAAAAAGCAAAACAAAACAAAAATAGTCTAATTAATACATCTAGAGATCTTAGAATATTACGATCATAAAATAACAGAATGCTATGATAAAGGATTACTCAGAACAATAAAATAAAACAGATCTTAGACACTAAAAATATGGTTGCTGGAATTAAAAAGCCCTAAGCAAGGCTGAATGGCAAAGTTAAGGAAATTTCTCAAAACAAAAGCAAATAAGACCTAGAAAGGATTAAAAAAAAAAAAAAGAAAAGAGGTATAATCCAAGAAATCCAATTAAAAAGGGTCCAAGAAAGAGAAAACAAAGACAACAGAAGAAAGAAAATGAATGGAAGAAAGTTTTTTCCAACTAAAGTAGTCTCTAGATTGTAACAATACAACAAGTACCAAGGCCATTATAAGACCCACACTTAGCATATTCTAGTTAAATACCAAAATACCAAAGAAACA